GTAAGTTGCTCTCTCGCGCGACGCCTTAACTGTTCTGCTTTCGATGTGACGTGAATTTTATTGCAGGTGGAGAATTCTTTATCTTTCTCTGTAACTGTTTGGACATCTAGTAAGGATTTACAGATTGTGTGTGTGTGTGTGTGTGTGTGTGTGTGTGTGTGTGTGTGTGTGTTACTCTGAGGTCATTGTCTTTTGATGTTTTGAGATGGTGAACTGAGACATAAGAAGAAGACCCTCGGGGCTTTTTGCATTATCTAACGAAACCTTCCAAGAAGTTCTGGGGTTTCCATTTTAGGAAACCCTTGTCGGTTTAGCATAGGGATGTGGTGGCAAAATGAGCTTCCAGCCTGATCTCTGCCCCTGTTCACTATTAAAAGCCAGAATTGTCGCGTTTCCATCCCTTAATCACATTCTTTTAGCACTCTGTCGTGTTTCTTTATCTTCGTTCCTTAATTAGGATTCAAACCCCGTGCTCGGAGGGACTGCTTCTGCTCTTGCTAAACAGGCTGCTGTAGTCATTAAAGCATTATCTCCCGGAGTTGGCGTCCAATCGTATGTTGTCTCTGCTTCATGCATACATACGCTTGGCATAAATTTTCCGTCGACGCTGGCCAGCATATGTTGCCATGTATTCAAGCCCAGAGAGATCAACTCAGTCCTCATAAGCGATTCCGATTCTTCCTCACTTCCTTTTTACTCTCATTTTTTTTTCTAAATACAAACAGGTGAAGGAATGAAGTAAAAAGGTAGCGGGAAATGATGGTGTGCATTTGTGCTGTGCTCGCGCGCTGGGAATGTTCCTTTTTAAGATAATACAGTCATAAATCAGTCTTTTAGAGGGTTGTTGATCTTCACAGCCTGATGATTGGAAGGGTGTTTGCAAAGTGAAATAAAGCCGACAATTTGTACTGCTCCTTCCTAGCTCTCTTCTGCTTGTTCTGTCGCGCTCCGTCCCAGAGTCTAGATTCCACATGTTGCCTGCCATTAATTATTTTAATGAGCATTATGACCGTTAGCCAATATGTTTTGCTTTTGAAAATGTATCTTTCAAAATACATCTTTGCTGGGACATTTTACAAAATTGTTCTTGAGTCAAAAAAAAAAAAAAACATGAAGTTAATAGAATCTTGGCTTCTCTCTTGCCGTTAGTAACTCTTAACTTGTTGCTTCTTACTCCCTCACCAAAAACCATCCTTACCAAAAGAAAGCCACTGCCTGAAGCTCTGGTTAGCATTGTTCTTAGTCATTGTAGCAAAGGAACAAGTTGAAGCCGCCTCGGGTTTTGGTTGTGATGGGTAAAGACTTCCGTCCTCTGTGAGCCGTGACGTTCGTCTCATGGTTCCTCTGAGGCACTCACCTGTGAACAAGGCCTTTTTCCACACATCAGCCACATCAGTTTCCACATTGAAATGTGACCTGCTTAACGATAGAATTTGAAAACTAACCCTATGCCACACCCTCAGAATACACCTTTTTCCTACTGAAGAGCTGATTAGGAAGTGGCGTGTGGGCCTTCCCAATGAACAGGATGGCTCTACAGTATCCCCCGTGTTGGGTGACAGGGAGGTCCTGATGCTGGAAAGCCCATAGGTTTGCTGCCTGGGCCTGGAGACTAATCACAACCACCTTTGAATTCCGACAAGAAAACAAAAATATGCCTTCGTGCCTATGCAGCCTCTTTGGTTTCCCTTTTAGCTGCACTGACTAAATTATAGTCTGATTTAGAGGGGTTCAAGTTTGAAATATTGCTTCAAAGTCTGAAGGCGTAGTCAGTGTGCTCCAAATCCTCTGACCTGTGTGCCTGCCATCAACACAGTGTATCTTTCTTAAGTAAACTCATTGGGTTTAAATTTCTGTGGCATTTTATATATGGGAAGTTACCACTCTACAAGGAGAGAATGCAAGTCATTTACCTCAATAGACTTGCTCACTGTGGGCAAACAAACAATCAAAAAGCCAAGTGAGCCCTTAGACACAGAATTAGAAATTAAAACTTCATCGCTCCTTGAGCGGGGCATTTCATTTAAGGAGTTGACGTTGTTGGTTTTTTTGTTGTTGTTGTTGTTTTTTTTTTTTTTTTTAAGTGTGAGAAGGGGCTACATGTGCCTTTCGGCTTGCAAAGCTTTTGAGCAATCTCAAATTCAAAACCCTTTCATCAAAAAAGAGAAGACAAAGTTGAGACCTTTGTTTATCTGGACTAATGAAGAGAAGTATGGGGTGGTCTCTTGTGTAGCAGATGGCTCAACTAATACAGTATCAAGTACCTATAAGTTGTTTTCTGACTGATACAGGGTACTACCGTAATCCTGTTTTAAAGTAAAGGCCTCTAGGGAAGTCCTACCATGGGTCAAGGTAGGGTTGCTGAGTCCCATCATTGACCACTACGGAGACTAGGTCCCCTCATAGGTCACTCACTAGTTGATGGTTTCCCTCCTGGATCTTTGTGGAGTGGACCGTTGATGGCTGATGTGAGGAGCTGATTTAAAGGGAGCCAGACTGCTCTGGTGGCTCTTTCTCCTCCTGAAGGGAAGACAGACAAACTCCAGCTGGGAGAGGTCAACAGGCGGAGGGAGGAGACTAGAGGACAAGTAGACTTGTTGGCATGGTGATAGCATGAGCATCATTGATGAGACACTCGGTGTAGATGGTAATGCACTTGTTGTTATTCTCGGGAGTATAATAAGCTTGTGTAACCTATTTCTATCCAATATGAAACTGGCCAGATTTCTGGACTTGAATCATACAAATATGTATTTGAAACTTTGTAAAGCTCCTGAAGACCTTTTCTTTGTGTGTATATTAATTTTTTTTTGAAAATCAAGGTTATTCGAATAAACAAATGAGAGGTTTGGACACAAAGCTACCCAAGGGTTAGGAGGAAACAAAAGGATAGCGATCTCACCATTGTTAACACAGAGAAGCGTTTAAGGCAGGAAGTGCTGCCGGTTCTGGAGGCCCAGTGCTGTCTCAGATGAGAGCATGAAATATTGGCCAACAGTTGACCCTTTGAGCTCAGAGACTTCGCATTCAGACACCAGTGTTGACTGATTGGCTCAAGCCCTGGCCGCCATGGGTAGTAACATCACATTCCTACCTTTCTAGTGACATTTCAGTATGAAAATGTGCATGTGTCCGGAAAGATGGCGGGCAGATTGTTCCCTCTGCGGATGCTAGCTGCATGAACCAATGCTTAGAGTTACTCTCCCTCCAAGGGCTTGTGAAGGGAATTAATGACTAGTTAGTAGTTCAAAGGTCCATTAATTTTTTTTTTTCCCTCTCAGAGGTTTCTCAGTCTCGGCATATGGTCCTAGCCAGTCTGACTAATATTTCTAACTACTACCACCAACCTCCACAGCTCTGCATGGTGCAAATTTTAGACAGAAAGGAATATATGTTCTCCATAAAGTGTGTATAGATGACTTATGAAATTAAAAATAATAAGATAAGGCCCATGTGAATAACTCGATATTCACTTTCTGGACAATAAAATATACAAAATTATAAAAAAGAACATTAATTTTTTTTTATCTCTGTGTGTCTACTAAAGGGACTTAGGTACATCCAAATAACTCTAAACACTGTTCGTTCAATTCATTGACTTGTGAATCTCATTGTAGAACCTGCAATTAATATCTTCCCATTGACCTTACCATCATTTACCAAGGGAATCGTTCTAGCACAGGCTTAGTGTACCCTGCAATACTAATAATGGCAAAGGTTCATATTGAAAAAAATATATAGATTTTAGTGCATTCTTAAATCTCCGCTCATAATACAGAATTGTTGCTAAAAATGTAATACAGTATTTGGTTTTAATACCTCTGGGTAAAAGTTAATAAAGTAGCTAAGGCAACAATACCCGTATGCATCTTGTGAAAGCCCTTTCTCTTCTCCAGTGGATAGCGTCTGGAATTACTTTAGCAGCAGTGAATGGATTAGTTTGTCATTTGCTTCTTGCCTGACTACTTCTGAAACTGTGCTTGCACTTGTGGAGGGCGGTCAGGTTGCTTTGCCAGGTTTCCTCGATGTTAGTGATTGAATTTCTACCTTTCTGGGGAAGTTCTGCGATTATCTAACCCAGCTGTCAGAAGGTTTTCCAAGGAAACTTGCTAATTGTGCGCCCATTCTTTGGTCACATGACTTGATCACTACGCATGTTGTAGCTGTAAGGCCCCTTGTTTGCAATTGTTAAAAATATAAAGATAGCGGCCGCTGAAGGTGAAACCAAGCACAGGATGTTTCAGAGGGCTGCCGCGTGTGTGGTCAAACAATGTTGGTCCCATACGCGGGAAGCCAGCCCTGTTCTCCATTCCGTTGTGTGGATCCTTGTCTCTCTCTGGCACCAACTGCCTTCTATCTAAAGGACTTCCTGTAACATTTTAAACAACGTGAGGCTGCCAGTGGTAAGTTCTGCCAGCTCATGTGCCTCTGGAAGAAATTTTATTTTGCCTTCGTTTCTGAAGGATACTTTTGCAGGATGGGTAATTCTGTATCCCCATCAATATGTTTCCAATTTGTTCTGGAACAAGGGAAATTCTTTAGTCTTGTGAGTAAGGTTTATTTGGGAAACACTGGGATACTGTCCGGCCTGTTGCTAGTATTTCCCACTATTGGGCAGAGGTGCTGAGGGCCTGAACCATGTCTTTGAAATCCCAGAGCTTTCCAGCCTGAATAGTATAGAAACTATCACCAGCCTGATTCGGGCTCTAAGAGTTTTATCTGTCAGTCTTTTCAGGGGCTTTGTTGTCTGGCCTCAGGTAGGTTCTTTATAAGCATGTACTGTTTGTTCAGTATTCTCTCCCCTCCACCCAGCAAACTAACCATGCTGGCCTCCCTCCACCCAGCCATCCCTAACCACACAAAAAGATGGGCGCTTTTCATCTCATCAGACACCCAGTTCTTTCTGAGGCCCTCCCTCCTGCAAACGAGACCACTCGTATCCTGTATTTGCTTCCTGTGTCCCAGGCCTCACTGCCCTTGTTGTGCTGTGTCTAACAGCA